AAGATGCTGAAAATCGTAGCCGGAGAAATAATATACACTTGACAGGAATTCCAGAAAATCTGCATCCGGTGCTGATCTTAGAACCACGGTTCGGGCCATTTGTAACACTATCCTGGGTAAGGCCCCTGATACAGATCTGGAATTAGATATTGTGCACCGAATTCCTAGGCCCAGATCAAGAGGCCAGACTCTCCTAGGGACGTTCTCTGCAGAGTCCACTTTTACACCATAAAAGAAGATATTGTTCATAAGAATGGTCCACTGGACTTTGACGAAGCGCACATTCAGATCTATCTGGACCTCTCTTTACATACTAGGTAAATGCAAGGAATGGTACAACCTTTGTTGGGAAGTGATACAAGCCACAGGGGCTCCTACCGATGGGGTTACCCCTTTCATATCCTTATCAGCAAAGTCGTGCCTATGTTTTACATAACCCTTCTAGCTGCCTGCTCTTTTTCAATTCCTGGAAGCTACACCAGTGGAAGTTCCAGACTGGCTGGAGTGGCCAAATAACATCCGAGCTCCACCTGCCATGGCTCCTCGACCACAGAGCGTGCACAGAGCCCCATCCAGAAACAAATCCATCTCCCGTCGATCCCCGAGGCCTGCGGAACCGGAGCTCTGAGTGTATGGTCCGAACAGGAAGTTGGTGATTAATGTGGACTTTTATGTACCAAAAGAGAACTTCATGGTCGGTAACAATAGTACCTTATTGACTGGGCAGATTTCGTTGAATGAGAGGTGGGCCAAGTTGTGTTAAATGGCCATATGTTTCCCCAGCAGTCTGCTAAGTCAGTGGGTGGGTGGCCGATCTGGGGGGACTTTGCAATTCTGCTAAGGTTGATGCCTTTGTCTGTGTTGGTCGTAATGAATGTTGACTTAAACACTTTTGATCTCACTGTAAATCCCCCTCCCCTTTTTTTTTTTTTGGGGGGGGGGGGGGGGGGGGGGGGGGGGAGAGATAGATGGAGGGGGAAAACAGCGGTGATGTCCTGTCCAGTTTACCTCATACAACATTCGAGGCCTGAGCATTCCCGAGAAAAGAACGCGGTTACTACAAGATTTGACTTCGATACAGAGCCAGGTGGTCTTCCTACAAGAGACACATTTTCATGGTGAGAAAGTGCCCAAGCTTTTTAACTATAAGTATCCTACAGTATATCACAGCACAGCAGATCCTGTACCTTATAAAAGGCATTACCCATTTTTATATCCCCCAGTCCTTTTTTGCACCGCTACAGACTATGCAATTGGATTTTATCTGGGGGGGGGGGGGTAAAGTGGCTCAGACGAAATTCTCTCTGCTAGCTCTCCCCAAGTTGAGGGGGGTTGGGCTGCCAGATTTATCACTTTATTATGAAGCCTTGCATCTCTCCAGGGTGGTGACGTGGTGCATGTCTTCTAGACATAAGATGTGGGCCCAAATTGAACAACAGTCAGCACAGGTATCTCTTGCGGCCCTCCCCTGGATACAAGTGAAATATTATCGTTCTCTTAAAAGTCTTCTGACAGTAGGAGCCACAATTAAGGTTATATTTACCGACTGTTCAACTGAAGGAATTGTCCCCTTCTCCCTCCCCCCTTACCCATGTAATCTTCAATCCCGCTTTTCCCCCCAGAGTTGAAAGTAAGCAATTGCATCGCTTGGGAGAGGCGTGCTTTACTCAATGTAGGTATTTCACGACTCAGTGGAATTGGATGTCCCTCCAGACACTTAGCGCTTTGGTACAACCCCCGCTGGGGGACTGGTCAGCTTACCAGTTGCGCAACTTCTTACAATCAATTCCAGACTCACACAAATATACCAGACCACTTACCCCCTTTGAACAGAGGGGTATACTCCTCATCTTCTGTCAGTACTGTATAAAATGTTGATCACACTGGGGGGAGACTTTTGTCCCTTCCTACGTGCGCAAGTGAGAGGCTGACCTGCAGATATCCTTTTAGGAGAGCAAGTGAACCGGATCATTCAATGAGTTCAAAAATCGTCGATAGCTAATCGAGCAGGGATACAAACTTCTGTCTAGGCGGTATAGGGTCCCAGTACTATTGAACAAGTTTTACCCCTCAGTCTCCAGTTTGTGTTGGCAGTGTCAGAAGGAGGAAGGTACTTTGCTGCATATCTTCTGAAAATGTTCTCTGCTGACTCAGTTCTGGATGGGATGTGGAACTTAGTCTTACATCTGACCTCGGCTGACTTGGGAACAGACCAACTGGCCTACCTTTTTTTCAGCTCAGCTGGGTACCGCTACGTCGCTATAGATGCTCCCTGACAGTTCATCTTCCGAATGCGGCACGGGCATGCATTCTGGACCTGTAGAAGCAAACCTCCCCCCCCCCCCCCCCAACCATGGGCCACTGGTTTGTGAAGTTGAATGAAATCAATTCAACGGAAAGCCTTACTGCCTCCTTTAACAATAGGAAAGACGTTTTTTGGAAGACGGGGCGGCCTTGGAGAATGTATACTTGCTTGATGCAGAATCTGGATGAAGTACCCACCTCCTCCGGGAGGGATTGCGTTCTCTTCGAAATAACTTTCGGCGGATCTGTGGCCAAACCATATGGTTGGTGCGGGGGGTTGGGTAGCAGGAGCAGAGGGGCCTTGTGCTGCTCTGCCCCTCCACCCCCCAGTGCTTCCTCACGTACTCTCCATTGGCCCCCACTCTGTCCTCTCTGTCTCCCCTTTTCCCCCATGATGGACCGATTCTGGGTTTTCAAATATGAAAGATTGTGTTAGACTGTGTATTGCAGGCCCATCATTCAACATACCCTATATGAGTGGCCTTACAATAGTTGTTATGGATGGGTTGTATATGCCCTATTATGCTGCTCTCAGAACTGTAAATGCCTAAAGCACTGATTGCGTTCAACACTCATAAATAGTTGTACCTGCTTAGGATATGGTCAGCTTTGGACAACCAATATTAAGCAGCACTAATGACAGATTAGCAAACCATTAGTGACAAATTGTGACACCTATAAACTGCTTAAAACACTAAGAATTACTGTATGTAATGCTGCCTGTAAAAACTAAACATAAAAAGGTAAAAGAGTAATGCATATTAAATTAACACATTAAAACCATTTTTGACAACTGATGCAATGGCTATGACAGTGCTAGTAGAAAGTTATCCCATATTAAAGCCCATTTATGGTTGGGATAGGTGAATAATTTGGAGGTGAATAAGAGAAATTCTTGTAGCAGACTGTAAAGCTCTAGTTTGGCTTTCTGGAACGGAAAATACACTCAGCATCCAAAACACATTCCCCACTTCACAGTGCTCTGTGAAGGATTTAAGTTGTGATTTGCCCCCACTCACGCGGTTGTCTGCAGTTTTGATTTAAAATGCACAACGATCACAATGAAAGATATTGATCTAAAATATATTTTTGGAATGTGCTCATCCTTGTTTTTGAGGAATTTATTGTATCTATGTCTACTTTGAGAAGAAGGTTTTTGTTGTTTTTTTTCCCAAATCTCTGTGGAATTACAAGTCCCACTATTAGATAGAATGGATTTAGTAACAAAAACAAGAAAAAACAAGAAAAATTTGAAGAACTATATTGGTGTACACACCACCAGATACCAGAAAGTATGAGCCATTGCAGCCACTTCCAGAAGGAGGTTCTCTTCTCCAGCAGTGGAGGCTAAATAGATATGCATTTTTATTTTGGGGTTTGGATACATTTTACACTGATTTACAATGTTAGGATTCAACTGTCAAAGTGTCAGACCCTTTACTACCCAATAAGGTTCTGGCATTTGACAAGGACAGAGTTTAGCAAAAGGAAGGGGAAGGCTTAAAGTAGAACTAAACCCTCATGTACTTTAAAGCCAAGGAAGTTGTCATCTTAAGCCGAGTACACGCTATAAGAAAATTGGATCAACGATCGTCAGGTTTTCCTTGATGTTTCACAGCAGGTCAAAACTGAGGTTGGTACTAAATCGTACAAAAACTCTCATATTACAAAGGCTTTTTTGTTGTTTATGGTTTCTGATCGTGCGCAGTCTTTCATATCTGACTTTTCTCGTGTGAAAATAGTGCACATTGTTCGTTCTGTTCACGTACAAAAAATTTCGGAATCTGTCCCTTCAGAAATTTTAGTTTGGAAAGTCTGAATGTCAAAGGTTTGTGTACACACTATATGAAAAACGAACAATCGTGCCTTGTATGGAATTTTTCTTCCAAATTTCTCATAGTGTGTACTCCATTTTAGTCTCAGTTTGATCTCCAGTTGACATGGTGCGGCATGTGTCATCAGCAATTTGATGGCTTGACAGTTCAGTTGAAAGCACAAGCAACTATGACAGTTCTCATTCACTGCATGCCTTGAATGTAACTGTTCAAATTTAAAGCAGAACTAAACCGATCGTTTTAATGATTTCAAAAGACAGTTAGGCCTCATTCACACCATACATACAGAAAAACTGATGGAAACTGACGTGCAGATTTCACTTGCAGAGACATCAGTTTTCATGTGCGCTGCAATGAGTTTTAAATTACACGTTGCAAATTCCTGCACAGAAAAAAATCTACACGTGATACCAGTGTTGTGGTGTGAACAATTGGGGGGTTTTGTGCCCTTGTAGAAAAACTAACATGTCGGCACATGTTGTGGATGAGGCCTTAAATTCCCAGGATGCAAGGAGTGCTGTCACATTTGCTTGTGATTTCAACCAAACTGTCAAACCATCAAATCGCTGGTGTCATAACTGATCAATGTGCAGCACCATGGCAGTTGCAGGTGAGGCTAAGATAACAGCTTCCTTAGCTGAAAAGTAGATAGGAGTGTTTAGTTCTTCTTTAGTGCTCATTCACACCATACGTGCATGAAAAATGAAGGGAAAACCGTGCAAAAATCACTTGCAGAGACATGCAATACAGGTACCTAAAAAGGTACCTGTACTGCTGTTGCTTAGAATGTTTTGAGGGAGATCAGGGTCAGTTAAAAATACATGTTTATGAGCTCTTTTTCCTGTCAAAGGACTTTATAACTTAACCACTTCCCATCCAGCCCATGTATATAAATGGCAGGACAGGAGCAGTGCAGGGGCGGGTTGCAGTTCATAAAACGGCGCCCGCCATTGTAGCCTGTGCGCACTCCCTGGGAGCACACGGCACCGCGATCCGGTGCCCCCCCGATCGCTGTAGGGGACCTCTGTGCGAGGTCCCGATCATGTGATCACTGATTGGCCAATCAGTGCTCATATGAATAGTAATAAGCAAGATGTCACTTCTGACATCATTGCTTACTACGTGTGAAATTTGTGAATGATCACAGAGATCACATGGTACAAGGCTATTCACAACAGCCTTGTACCATGTGACAAGCTGTGAAACAATCACAGCTCACACAGTATTTCTCAATGGCTGCAAGAATGCAGCCAGAGAGAAAGAGAAATTATTGCTTTTACAGCCCTTTATGGGTAAAAAAAAAAAAAAAAATCATCACTCCCCACAAGTAGTACAGTGTCGCTTTGGTGACAGTACTGC